CTATACCCCAGCTGATGAACCAGTACTCTTTCACCTTCTAAACCCACGACCACTACCAGTTAGAAGGACATGGAAAGCAGATAAATAGAAACACCACCAATTTCCCTTGAAAGTCATCCTGTCTTGGAAATATACTGCCATCCCTTCATTTTCATAGGTTCCTGTACCTCCCTCGCTGTCAGCATTGTGGAAGTACCTACCCCAAATGGACTGCAACGGTTCAAGAAGGCAACTCACTATCATCTTCTCAAGGGCAGTTAGGGATGGGCAATAAAGGCTGGCCTAGCGACTAAAGCCTACGTCCCAAGAATAAATTTAAAAAAACAGTCAGCATCTTTTGTTCTATGTAGTATCACTTATTGCTTCCTTTGAAATCTGGCATTCATGTATCTGTCCCAATGCGAGCAAGATGTAAAGCTTCAATAGTATGTCTATTTTTCAGCAATACTCAGGATTAAAAAGTGTTTACAACAGATTTCGGATTGATACCAGGAAGCTCTTTTGTGCAAAGAGTGAGCACCATGTGAGATTGGATAAAAATTTAAATTGTTGGAAGTACACAATGGGCTCATCGGAAATCTGTAAGGACAAAGATCGGGTTAGCAAATTAGCATTAACCAGTTCCAGCAAATGTCATAGTCCATGTTTCTTTAACAGAGCTTTAACAGACCGACATATGGTATTTTATCAGTATTTTGCTGTTCTTGTTTCACATTCTCAGTATTCAGGGGGCTCTGCTGGAATGAAATATCCAGTATTGAAGTAGGGACTAAACTTTGGATGAGTGTACAAAACATTGCTTTCGAAACACGTGCAGTTTCATGACCTCCTAAGAGGCCCAGACAACTGTGGCCCAATTATTTTCTGGGTTTCTGATTTGAATTTAATGAACCTGGGGCTTTGGAAAGGAATGTTTAATATGCTTATATTTCAGTAGAAATAAATTTAAAATCAAATCCCCCAGGATTTCAAGCAGGCATTAATTGGAAAAATAAACGTGCCCAGAATCAAACGTAACCTGAGGACATATGTTGGCAAATTTTTTGGGACTTGGGAGACAGGTGATAGAGATAAAGGGAATATTCTCTCATCAGGATTTAACAGATGGTCTTTCCTACATATCTGCTGGGGTCCTAGAGTTTCGACATGAAAGCTAACATGTAGATGCAGCTAGCATCTAGGAAGGCTCATAGTATGTATACCTGGAATGTTACTCCGTAGTAAAGAAGTCTTGCAGCAATTATTTAAAACCTTGGTGAGACCACATCTAGAATATTTTTATGTAGTTTTGTTCTCCTTACCTAAGAAATGATATATTTGCAGTAAAGAGAGGACGACAAAGGTTCACCAGACTGATCCCAGGGATGGTGGGATTGTCCTGTGAGGAAGAATTGAACAGATTGGGTCTGAGATGTTGTTCCACTGAATTTACGCAGACCTTACAGGAAGGATGGTCCCCCTGGGGCTGGGGAAGAGGGGGCTCTAGAACCAACGAACACAGTAACAGAGTAAGAGCTAGGACATTAAGGACTGTGATGAGAAGGGATATTTTTATTCAGAGGATGGTGAATCTTTCGAATGTTCCATCACAAAGAGTTGTGGATGCTGAGTATAGTCATGTCAGAGATTAATAGACTTCTAGATATTAAAACTGTCAGAGGATACTGGAGCGTTGGAGACTGAGGAATAACCTTATAGAGGTTTATAAAATGATGATAGGGTGAATAGGCAAGGTCTTTTCCCCAGGTTAGGGGAGTCCAAAACTAGAGGGCATAGGTTTAAGGTAAGAGGGGAAAGATTTAAAAGGGACCTGAGGGACAACTTTTTTCACGCAGAGGGTGGTGTGTATATGGCATGAGCTGCCAAAGGGAATGGTGGAGGTTGGTATAATTGCAGCATTTAAAAGGCATCTGGATGGTTACATGATGAGGAAAGGTTTAGAGAGAAATGGGCCAAATGCTGGCAAGTGGGACTAGATTAATTTAGGATATCTGGTTGGTTTAGATGAGTTTCCGTGCTGTACAAATGTAACGCTATACAAGGACAATGTGGAAAAGTGGCATTGAGGTAGAAGATCAGTCATGATCTATTTGAACACGAAGCAGACTCCGAAGACTGAATGGCCTACTGCTGCTCCCAGTTCCGATATTCCTATTATCATTTACTGATCCATCTGCAAACATTTCTTGTTAAAAGACAACAACAACTTATATTTATACAACAACATTAACATAGTAACTTTAACATGCCTTGGCATCACACAGTTGATATCAGACCACATAAGGAGAACTTGGGGCAGATGGTCAAAAGGTTAGTCAAGGAGGTTGGTTCTAATGGGCATCGTAAAGCTGGAAACAGAGATTTGGAGGGACTCCCAAATTTTAGGGCCCAGGCAACTGCAGGCATAACCACCAATGGTGAAGTGATTAAAATTAGGAAAGCCCAAGATGCCAGAATTGAAGGTGTGCAGGTATCTCAGAAGGTTGTGGGACTGAAGAAGATTACAAAAATGAAGTTGGACAAGGTCACGGAAAACAAAGATGAGAATTCTAAAATTCGTAAAAACCAAAAGAACTACGGATGCTGTAAATCAGGAACAAAAACAAAGTTGCTGGAAAAGCTCAGCAGGTCTGGCAGCATCTGTGGAGGAGAAAACAGAGTTAACGTTTCGGGTCTGGTGACCCTTCCTCAGAACAGACCAGAATTTTGATTCTAAAAATCGTGTTCCTTTGACTGGAATCCAGCCAAGATCAGCAAGTACCGTGGCGATGGATGAACAAGACTTGCTGAGAGTTAACACACAGATGCTAGAGTTTTAGATGATTTCATGTTTAGAGATTGTAGAATGTAGGAGGCCATGCAGCCAGGAACAAGCTTGACCAGTTGAGGCTAGAGGAAGCCACTGCTATGTGGTTTTAGCAGTTTTTGCAGTGATGCAGGTAAGTGGTCAGAAGCTCATTTCAGGAACAAATATGATACCAAGTTTGCAAATAGCCTTGTTGCCAACAAGAGGGATAGGATCAGTAGGTAGGCAGGCAACAGAGTTGTGACGGCAACCAAAAAGCAATTTTCCCAATATTTAATTGGAGGAAAAATTTATTTAGCCCAGACGGAATACTGGAGAAGCAGTCTGATCATTTTCAGGTCATTCAGCGAGTTTGAGAAGTGTTAGTTTTAAGATACAAATGGGTGTCGTCAGCACACGTATGAAAAGTGACGTGTTTTTGGTTGATGTTGCTGAAGGGCAACACTTAAGTAAGAAATAGGAGGAGGCACGGATCAATCCACGGGCAGGTGCCTTTGATAGTAGGGCAAGAGCAGAAAAGGAAGCCAATTCAAGTGATTTGCTGGCTATGACTGGATAGATAAGAACTGGACCAGGTGAGATCAATCCCAACCACCTGGACAATAGTGGAGATGCATTGAAGAAGCTTGATGTAACACAGACTGCAGACTGGGCGGGGAGAGAGATTCACCTTTTTTAAGTCTCATTGGCTGCCGTTTGTGACTTGGATAAGAACCACTTCAGTACCATTGGCAGGGGCAGAAACTTAATGAAACTGAATCAAATATGAAATCCTGGGAAAGGTGATCGTAGATTTGAGAACTGACAGATTATTCAACAACTTTAGAGAAGAAATGGGTTGATTGTCAGGATGGAGAGTTCAGGTTGTCTTTTTAGAGGGGAGGGATGATTAGAGCAATGGTCAGCACCTAAGGCGGGAACTTTTAGAACAAAAACTATCATGAGAACAAAAGGTGGAACACCTGGATGCGGTAGGCTTGGAGAAATGGGAGTGGATCTAAAGAATTCCAGGGAATGTTTGGTCTGGTGGGTGGGAGTAATCTGTAGAGGCAACTGATCAGATGTTCTCAATCTTTGTCCTGAAAGATTTTGTGATCCCCTTGTACTTGTTGAGGATAAGAACGTAAGATCTAGGAGAAGGCGGATGGCAGTACAGGAACAAATTGTAGAGGTTCCAGATAATTCTAAAAAGTAGGGACCATTTTGAGCTGATGAGAGCAGAATATAATGGTGCTTTTTGTGGTCCAATCTGATCTGGAAGCAAATGGCTAAATTGATTGTCTGCCATTTCTGTTCAAGCCTGTGTCCCTTGGACCTAAGGCAGTGGGAGGTGAGGGCCACAACAGAAGGAATGTCTGGATTGAGAGGGAGTAATAGTTTTAGTGGACACCAGAATGTCAAAGGCAGAAGTGTGAACATGATTGAAGAGATTAGCGGTTGCAGAAGTATTGTGATAAATGGAGGGTTGCAGCTAGATAGTTAGATTTTGGGAGTGAAATGGGAGCTTTTTGCTCACCCAGGGTGGTCATGGTTGTGTGTAGGAATAGGAAGCTGCATAGGCATGTAGACAGCCCAAGTGATTGGCCAAATCTATAGCAGATGGAGTTTAATATGAGGATGATGAAGCTATTTTCTAAATGGCAAGAGATTACAAACTGCTAGATGAGCAATGCAGTTTGGTAGTCTGTATGTTCAAATCACTAAAAGCTGGTACCCAGGGACAAAAGGTCATCAAAAAGGCTGTTGGCTTTTGTTTCAGAGAGTCTGGAACATATGGCGAAAGAAATAGTGCATCAGGTGTAAAGCATTGATCAGACCATAGTTTGAGCACTAGGGTCAGTCTTGGACACTACAAATGGAGAGGGTAGATTGGCCTAGGATGGGGATAGAGTGCCTCTTCACCAAAATGATATTGGGGTTTTGAAAGGCTTCAATTATGAAGACATACATTTTGGATTGTGCTTGCTTTAATTTAAGATGATGAGGGATGATGTCTTCGTGATGTTTCAGATTTGGTTGGTTAAGTAAGTGAGTATTATTTCTAGAGATGCCCCTTTCACTGTGATATTTGCAAATGGCATCTGAAGGCTGTTTGAGACAAGGCAGTGTTTGTTTTAATGTGGACAGAAAATTATGCAGTCTGGTAAAATCTTGCGTAGGTTTAACTTACATTTTCTCCTTTGCCCCCATTCAGATTTTGGAGAGGACGCTAGAGCCAGACAGTTCCGATGAAGAGCCTCCTCCTGTTTACTCTCCTCCTGCCTATGACATGCATGTATTTGACCAGGGTTATCCGCAGCTCCCTCCACTGCCACCGCGACGGTAAGCACCACAATCATAGTCAACAGGCACACTCTCTGCCTTGGCTTGGGGCATGGACTCAGGCAAGTGACACTTTGCCAGCTTGGCACAGTAAAACTGGTCCCACATCCATTTGCACTGCATTTCAGTTAACACCAGAGTTGCACCAAGGCCACCTCCTGGATTTTGAGTGACATTACACCGTTCACCAATGTTCACATTGTTAGCATGGTTCTTAAAATGCTCTGCGTTTAGCAATCCTTCTTGTAATAAATGTTGGCTCCCTCTCTACAGAATTAGGTGAACAGGGAGGTCACTTCCCCTTCAGTTTGGCTCATAACTAGCAATAGATGGTAACTGATGGCCAATACCACTGCAGTCATCACTTCGCTATCCGTTTGTTATTTTTCTTGTGGGGAGTCACACTCTGGATGTTTATAGGTATTCCCACAATTTTGCAAGGCCTGGCAGCGTTGCTGGGTCAAAATCCTGGAACACCCTTCCCAACAGCACTGTGGATGGCACTGCACCTCAAGGACTGGAGTAGTTAATGATCCAGAATACCACAGCCTTCTGCAGGACAGTTACGGGTGGGCAATAAATGCTGACCTTGTCAGTGATGTCCATATCCTGGTGTGTCATTGGCATTCAGTCCTCAGTTTTGCATCTCCAAGTTCCTCAGCTTAAACTGAAGGAAACTTAGGACCTTTGACCAACTCCAAGTTGCAGCAATTTAGCTATTTAACTATAAATAATGTGTTGTATAAAAATAAAGGGAAAAATGTAAGACTTTAAGTTAGATTTGTAACTGGCTTATGCTCCAATTGAACCTTCTCTTGCCTTCTTCAATCGTTATCTGCATTTCCATTTATTCCGTTCTCTATCATGTGCTTATCCAGCGTTCATTTAATGGTGTCAGTGCTGTTCATTTCAACTAAGTTGCCTTCCCTGTCTGCAAAGACTGTTTAAACCCTGGCTGCAATCAGGAGACAGTCTGTATTTTAACAGAAGTCTATTGTAAAGCAAAATTCATAACTGTAGATATATTAAAGCTCTTACTTATGCAGTCACTTTCTATAAAAAAAAACTTACATTTTTAAGTGGTTGTCACACTTTTGTTTCAATGTTTTCATTATAAATCCTTATTCCCCATGTATAATGGAAAGACTCCATGTAAACGTGTTGCACTGTAATTATATTGTTATGCCAATGGTAGTACTTAGTTCTTGGTTTTGCATCTCCCAGTTCTTCACCTTACACTGAGAGCATTTTGTAAGCCCCAAACAATGCTGTTTTCCAAATTACAACACACCCTGCCATTTAACTGCATAGCTGCAAATAATAAAATATTGTATAAAAACCAAAGGCCAGAATAAACATAGAATCCGGGGTGTATTGCTTTAAATTAGGGACTGAATTTCGTCAAGTGTTGCATTATCATCCACCCCTACAGATTTGCTTCATCTGAAGACCACTCTTGTTCTTTTGAGTCCCTGTCTGCAACATTCCTGTTGACAGCTTCATTTCCTGGTGATGGGACTCTTCCTTGAGCTTATTACATCAATATGGGAAATGTTTGTGTAATCAGCAACAATGAAAACCTGCCACATAACCAGAGCCTGATAGTGGTGTAGCTGCAGCTGTTGGAAGGTGGTGTAGTGTCACTGGTGCACTGAGAGGCCAAAGGATGGGAAGAGACTTGGACAGAGCATAAATGTCAGTACGGATTAGTTGGTCTGAATGGCCTGTTTCTGTGCTGGACAGAGAACAGTACAGAACACGAACAAGCTGTACAGCCCACCGTGTCTGTGCCGATCATGATGCTATTCTAAACTAGTTCTACCTGCCTGCACATGGTCCATATCCCTCTATTCCCTACCTGCTCATGTGCCTGTCTAAATGCTTCTTAAATGTTACTATCATTACTGCTTCTACCACCTCCCCTGGCAGGAGTTCCAGGCATCTACCACCCTTTGTAAAAAAAAAAAATTTAAAAATTGCCTCTCACAACTCCTTTTAAACTTTCCCCCTCTTATCTTAAACCTATAACCCCCTAGTATTTGACATTTCCATCCTGGGAAAAGGACTCTGACTATCCATCTTGGCCATGCCTCCCATTATTTTATAAACATCTATAAGGTCTCTCCTCAGTCTCTAGTGAAAATAATCCAAATTTTTCCAACCTCTCCCTGTAGCGAATATGCTCCAATCCAGGCAACATCCTGTTAAAAACCGAAAGAACTGCGGATGCTGTAAATCAGGAACAAAACTAGAAGTTGCTGGAAAAGCTCAGTAGGTCTGGCAGCATCTGTGAAGAGAAATTCAGAGTTAACATTTCGGGTCTGGTGACCTTTCCTCCGAACATCCTGTTAAACTTCTTTTGCATCCTCTCCAAAGCCTCCACATCCTTCCTATAGTGTGGTGACCAGAACTACACACAATACTCCAAATGTGGCCTAACTAAAGTTTTATTCTGCTGCAACCGACTTGCCAACTTTTAAACTCAGTGCCCTGGCCAATGAAAGTAACCATGCCACATGCCTTCCTTATCACCTTATCCATTTGTGTTGTCACTTTGAGAGTTTTGGACTTTCACGCCAAGATCCCCCTACATATCAATGTTCCTAAGGGTCCTGCTATTTGCTGGATACTTTGCCTTTTGTATTTGACCTCCCAAAATGCATCATCTCAATATGTGTGGATTAAACTCCATCTTCCAGTTTTCTGTCCAGAACTTTCCAACTGATCCATATCCTGATGAATCCTTTGACAACCTTCCTTACTATCCACAACTCCTCCAATTTTTGTGTTGTCTGCAAACTTACTAACCAGACCATCTCCATTTTCATCCACGTCATTTATATATATACATGTATGTTACAAACAACAGAGGTCCCAGCACTGATCCTTGCAGAACACCACTGGTCGTAGATCTCCAGACAGAAAAACACTTCTCCGCACTACCCTCTGTCTTCTATGACCAAGGAATATTGTATCCAATTTACCAACTCACCATGTGATGTAATCTTCTGGACCAGCCTACCATAAAGGACCTTGTCAAATGCTTTAGTAAAGTCAACGGAGACAACATCAGCTGGCCTACCCTCATCAATCACCTTCGTCACTTCCTCAAAAAACTCAATCAAACTCGGGAGACAAGGCCTCCCCCGCACAAAGCCATGTTGACTATTCCCAATAAGTCCATCATTTCCCTACTGATGTATGCTCATTTTGACGTTTTGTAATTCTTTGCAATATGATGTGGTACCTACACAATGCAGCATGACAAAGCTGCAGTTACATTCTTCATTCCTCCACTGTGACCACAGGGTTGATGCACAGAGCTCGGGTGGGAGCCAGTCAAAAGTACGCTATCGGAATTGGAATCCGCCATTACTCGGTAATCTTCCTGATGATTTCCTGCGAATTTTACCTCAGCAGCTTGATGTGGTGCAGGTGAGCGTGATTCTGTTTCTGTCACAAAGAAGCCTGTTTTATAGGTAATGGTGCTGAAAGGGTTAAAAATATTGAACGCAGTACTGAGTCCAGAGGGCTGCAGGGTCCCCAAGCAGAAAATGAGGTGTTGTTATTCCAGCTTGCGCTGAGCTTTGCTGGAACACTGCGGCAAGCCTGAGACAGAGATGTTGGCCAGGGAACAGGGTGGTGCGTTGAAGTGGCAGGCCACAGGAAGCTTGGGGGCAGAACATAAATGTTTTGCGAAGCAGTCACCCAGACTACATTTTGTTTCCCCAGTGTAGAGCATGTTATGAACATGGGACTAGATTAATTTAGGATATCTGGTCAGCATGGATGAGTTGGATCGTGCTGTGTAACTGTATGACTCTATGCCTGCCGCTCAGGTCAGCCCCTCTCTGCGGTCTGCAATACTAAACAGTGCATATCCCGACTACCACCCTTGAGCTCAGTGACATGGGCACAGTCTGCGTGTTGACGTGGAAGTAATACTTGTCATCATTAATGAGAATGTGTGCTCGTACCCTGCAGAACTCGCAGAAGGGCCATCGTGGGAGCGGCCAAGAGTCACAAGGATCACTTGAGCAGGAGCGAAAGCTGAAGCAGTACCTGGAGGATGAGCGGATTGCACTCTTCTTGCAGAATGAGGAGTTCATGAAGGAGCTGCAGCGGAACCGTGAGTTCTTGCAGTCGCTGGAAAAAGGTGAGACAACACACAAGATGGGAGAGGGTAGCTTTGTGGTAGCTGAAGTAGGAAGACCTGCCATTCCACCTCCAAATTTTTCTGTCTGTTTTCCTACCTCACTCTGGAAGCTGGAAAGGCACAGTTCCAGCGGGAGGTCCCTCTGTGTGTTAACGCTGAATGACCCTTCGTCTTGTAAGGATCCAAGCAACGTTTGGGCTGATCTTTAATCTGGATGTGAAGATGTGCGCATTAGGACTCCACTTGGTTATACCACCACAGCCTAACAACCATCCAATCCCTGCTGTTGTTGAACTGAGATATGCAAATTGCTGACAGGGGCCGGAGGCTCCTCCCATGACGAAGAGGAAGTTGGAGCCGAACATACTGTTGCTTTGTGGGAGCTGGGCATAGCCACCCACTTTGGAAGCGGAAGATGTGATGTGTTCTACACCGAGAAAGGAAATGGGAAAAATATGAGTATCCTTGTTTTCCTGAGGCAACGTTGATTTTTATTTGCACTATTTTAACATAATCTGCTCAGTGGAAAACAGGCAGATTCAGATCATCTGCTGTTTTATACTCAGCCTGATTTTAGTTTCCACTGAATTCCAATTGATCAGGTTGAAATAATCTATTTCGAATCAGCTTCCACTTTGGCTGTTGAGGTCATACAATCACATCGATAATCCTGTTCGGCCCCAACCTCCTAAAACCCTTCAGATTTCATGTGGCAATGATTTTTACTCTGATATCATTGTCAAATTTCAACTGTAAAGACCACTCAGTCTTTCAGCATCTCCGGTCAGCTTTACAAAGTGCTTTAAGTCGAACCAGGATGATCAATCCTTTAGGGATTCTGAAAGGAACATTGCAGCTGGTACAGGTACCAGGGGCATGACTAATGCAACTCCGGGACAGCAATTGGCATTACCATTCCTCCTTGTACCATACCACAAGCACCATACATTTTAGTATATATACTGCTCTGTGAGTTTCCTCCGATTTGGAAACAGCTACAGACAAACCAGAATACAACAGTAGTTGCTTTATTAATGTGTAGCTTTCTGCCTGTATCCTTCTTACAGCGCCACCTACAGGTGTTGTTCTTTATGGCAGCTACAAGCAAATACTATATTCAAGATAACCAGGTGTAG